ACCATTGCTTCAAGCACTTTGACGGTGCTGCACGCTTGATGCTAACCAATGTGGGATAGAGACGGCTTTCCAAGGTCGCTTTAGTAAACAATAAATTGATGTGGTACTACGGTCGATTTATTAGCCTCATCGCCTCGAAAGGTGGAATAGGTGGTACTTGCATGCATGCCAGTTTGTCGTGCCGTCCATAAACTACGAACTTGGGTCAACTCGGGATGGGAATAATTTTTTATCTCAAAACTAATTGGCAAATCCGTGAAATCATGCCTCCGAATAGAACAAACGATTACGGGGACTAGAGAGCCAACGTTCGGCGACAGGCAAACTGCGCGGGTCACAGTTTCTCTGTAACCCCGCCAACTGATGAGACGGATTAAAGTTATGTTGAGAGAATTTTTCATCACAAACGTTTTCTACCAGAGTGCATGCGGTGAAATTTCATGGAATAAGTTGGGGAAAGCACTTGTAAAAGAACTTTCTAAGTAGGGTAATTTGGCTCTTTAATTCGAGTGTTTATTCTCCAAATCCAAATACTTAGAAAGAAGCGTTGCCAGAATTCTATGAATTCCCTTCCATATGCCAAACATTCAGAGCCTCCCTATCGAGACAAAAGAATTCATAGCGAAATGTGTAGTAAATTCCCAGTCCACATTTTGAAAACTGCGGTATCTGAACGCACAATCCACGTAGTGGTAGCGGGCCCTCGTAAAGTTCGGCTGGTTATACGTCGTGCCACTCGCGAAGTCTACAATCGAACTGGGCGCCGCTTTGGCGTTACGTACCGTGGCCGGTATACTGAATTTAGTTCTTGTCACGCCAAGGCTTGCCACGGCCGCAGTGCACATGGTCGGAGCAGTACCGAAGCGTTGTCTTATCATATGCTGTTTATCACAATCAAACATCGGATGATAGCATCTGCCACCGATCCGATGGTTCTCCGGTTTGGCTAGCGGTCGTTTTCTTCTTTCACTAACGTGTTTAATCCCGTAAAGCATTTTGCGGACGGACAGACATACAAACCGACATACATACCGACAAACCGACACACAAAGTTTTCTGCATTCCTATGTAGAAATGTAAGGAATTATTGACAGCGCAAGCTTCTTTTTATGGGATTTGTCAAGAACGATTTGAGACCAGGGCACATCACGTGTTGGGGATTTCAGTCGAGTCCGTACGACCTCCCTTAAGGACAGCCCCCGCGCTCGAGTAGTACATGGTCATCCTTCCTTGTGCAAGTAGTACAGCCCCCAACGTCGAGCTACAGCCCGCTCATAAGTTCTAGTTCTACACGCTGTATCTGTCAGTTGGACTGGCTGCTTTGCTAGATGCCCCCCGACCGACCGCGTCACTCAGTCTTTCTATATGTTTGGGGCGGCTGTGGGATCTAATCGCGAATTGCCAGTCCTGTTTGCTGACCGTACTCCGTACCGATGGCATTGATTGTGCTCTGCCTTCACTACATCTTACCCAGTTGGATGTACTCTCTCGCACATCTCTGCGAGGTGAAACGCGTAAAAATCACGAGTGACGCAATTTTCGTGGTGCAAAGCTCGACGCACTTCAGTGCACTAAAATGTGCGCTACCGTAACCCAAAATTCGGCGCCAATTCTGAAATTTCTTTTCCTTTCCCAGAAGTTTTTCTTCTGCGATTTTGTTTTGTTTTTTTCACTGTATTCTGTTTTGTTTGGGCACGTGAATATATAAACTTTACGATGATATGATAGAGAGATTTGTAAGCTAGGGGTTGCACAGAGACCGCAGGGAGGTGTGACTATGAGGGAGCGATTTTGTTTATGTTGTTCTGGAGGACGCTTCCTGCTTGTTTTCTTCTTTGGGAGATTACTTATCAGCTACTGTTTCATAATTGAAAAGCAACTATCCCAAGGAAGACACGGTTTCATCGCGGGAGCTGTCATTAAAGACACATGGTACGATCACGCATAGTTTGGGTGTGCGTGACTAACAGCCCGCCAGCTGTCGAAGCGTAGCGGTTTCCCGCTCCTAACTGGCGGAATGGGGGTACAGGAGCGTGAAACACGCAATCCTCACATGTTCGCCACAATGCCTTTTTCGCGGCGCAGCGCCTCCCGTTTTATGCTACAAGTAGCCGCGCGGGAGTCGTGTCGGCGCCGCAGCGCTCTTGGCAACGTTTGCCGACATCCTATATAATTAGCGCATTGGACATACAAGTAAAACGCAATTTGCCTGAATGCGGTAACTTTTGAGTGCTTAGAAGATAGAATTGGCAGATGACGGACAGAGGCAGACTCAAGAGGCAACTGTGCTGCTTCGTGCAATATCCCTCGGAGGCCGCGCATTCAACAAAACATTCTCTGCTATAGATTTTTTTTATAATTCACAAATGCTAAGTATTCTCTGTCATGAGTGTGGTGTGTGTTGTACAGGAGGGGGGCGATGGGCAAAAAAGTCATTTTCTTCATTGACTTTCGAGGCGCTATAAGTTACACTTTATTAAATTCTGATCGGACATTTTTACCACCATATTAAAGAGCATATCAAATACTATCACTCCGCCACAGCCTATCGGACGAGCAGCCATCCCGAGCGATTCTGGCAGACGCGGACGCCATGTGGTGCCTGAGATCAGCGAGATAGTCGATTTCTCCGCCACCGTAGACCACCCTATTGAACTCTCCGCCCGAACCGGGTAATTGAGGGGATTCAGGTCAGGTGACCTACTTGGATATTCCATCTTCTTTAGGTACTCAGCCCCCTTCCATTCCAAGTAGGCGAGAGTTTCTCCAACGCCCATGTGGTGGCACCCAATGCTGTAGCAGTACAAAGTTTCCAAGAAGGTACGGGCGACCACATGTGAGGAGGATATTCTTCACGAGTTGCCCAATGAAGGGAAACCTCCGCGCAGAGCAAAAAACCCATTTCCTGCGCTCCATTACAATGGGGCGTATTGAACACGCAAGAGTGGATCTGGAACGGATCTCCTCACGAAACAGAACTAGGCAATGGTCATTAGCGCGCATTAGTTTCATCCCAAGATGCGCCATGCATCAGCCTCCTCTCAGAGGTAATGGAATGGTGCAACTTCTACATAATGCGTGTCCACTGAAGCAGATGTGTTCATAGGGTTCACAAAGGACCATAGCTCACCCACGTACATGTTTGAGTCGTACTGTGCACTCTACGTAATCACGAACTTATGCCAACTTACTAATACCATTATTTGACCATTTTGATTTTTGTGGTGCACTGACACCTCTGCGCTGTTTGATGTGGGCTGCAACTCTCATTACGCCCCTCCCTATCTCAGCGGTCAAATATAACCCTCCTGCCTCTGAGGAATCCTTTAAGATGGTAAGCCTCGCCTGGAAAGTCACTTAGCGTGCACAGGTTCGTAGCGAATGCCACAATTCACAATATACAATGATGAGTCAGTCGTGTAGGGACTGTTATTTCAACCATCTTTGACCCGCGGGGTTTGTCTTCGAACAGTCCCCCATACAATTTTTTTCTACCGATTTTGGTGATAATGGTGGCGCTAAGCTGGCGCCAATTGTAAAGTCGTCATCCGGGCACTTGATTAGGGCGGCAAGGGTCGCGACGCGGCTGCGGCGTGTCACGACCGCGGCGATCAGCTGTTTCCAGCCTATTTTAGCCATTTTCTCCCTAATTTACACTGTTATGGCTGCTTTTCTCGAAGATTAGTTGTTCCTTGTCTTCACAAAAATTATGATTGGGATTCCTCTATTTTTTTGCACACAATAAAAATAAGGGACTCGCTAGTCACAAAGAATCCTTGTTATTTTCTCCTCCCATAGAACTTTTCCTTCCAAAGATGAACATAATCGTCTAATATCGGCAGAACTCTTTTTGTTGTCAGCTCCATAAAGTTTCATTTCAAGAACCAGAAGGATACGATTAGCTGAAGCGAAGCTACGGCGAAATGTAAAATGGGATGAAATGCAGTATAGAATGGTGTTGGGTCAGCGTACCCAATAGGCACCGATGGAAACCCCATAGGCAAGCTACGAAGTCATCACCACCGTCCCACGAGCGTATGACGACCTTGTCGTGCTTTACAGACACGACTACATTTGATCGAATACGAAAGTATCCTTCACAAAAAGCGGCATACACTCACCACTTTTGAGGCTACGCAAGCACGCGCCGCCTCGCAGGATTTCGGAAAGTGTATTTCATCATAAGGCGTAAACACTGTCTATACGGGGACTCTCATCAATTCAGCTATTGTTGTCCAAGGAATTTCTCATATCATCTGCATTCCCACGGAAGCTTATTCGGACCCAAAACCCCCCGCCCGAAATTTTTCCCTCACATGTATACCTCAAAAGGCAAAAATGCGCTGTTAACCACGAAGAAGGAAGTACTCTGAAAAGGATGCTACGGCGATGATTAACTTATCACGCCTCATTCCTATGAAGAGCAGAAAACCTAAATTACCTGGACGGCTTCACCGGGAGACTTGCTACGTTCCCGATGAACCTCAATAATTATCGGTGGAATCGGCCAGTCTCAGGAAGCAGCACACCCGCAGTTGCGGCTGTTCCGGCCTCGTGTGCCGCTCGTATCGTCGACTTCGCCCTCTGCCAAGAGCCATAGATTTGTCGCTTACACGCGAGCTAATGAACATAAACTGCATATTGGGATTTTAATGTCTTCATCCAAATAGGGTTCTGTACTGGCGACTTACGAGGCAGAGACACCGTAAACACTCGCCGGTAGCATCTACCCTAGACCATATAAAAATAAAATGACTCAAAAAAATCTTCATTAAACAAGTGACTGAGGGACAAACCTATATACATAAAACAAATCAAAATACGAAATGAGCAATGTGAAAATGTGAGCTATACAACATAACAAGAACCGATGTCATACAATTAAAGGGTAACCATATGAAGTCGGTTGCGTTAATCTTCCTTACCCTAAATTGTCGACCTAGACGAGTGGATAGCTTGCCGTTACTTAACCTTTAAAGGTAATCAGGTGCTTGTTATGGTTAAGACCACGACTGGGGGGAGGATGGCTTACACGCGCAAAATGATTGGTTGCGAGTTGCGAAGCAAATACGAATGTAGCCCTTCGTACTCCCCAAAGTTTTTTGCCCAACTGAAAATATATCTGCCGTTAGTTGCTCTAGAGCTATATAAAAAAAAAACACTGAGTCCTAGTTGCTTCACAACAGCCAATAATCACCAGCTTCAGGATCAGTACCGTATCCTACGAGTAGAACACCATGATCCAATTCTTCAGAAGAGCATTCCTCGTCATAATAAACACCTACAAAAACTCATATCTGAGGGAACAATAAGCGTTCGTTGCGTACTCCACGTATTTCGCTAGCTTTTGTCTCTTACATCTACGTCTCTGGCTGTCTTCCGTCTAAACCCTCGCCACTTTCCCACATTCACACCTACTGCAATCTTCAGATATGAAACTTTGAAGTGTTCATTCCCTCCAGATGGCCGAACAGAGATTTCATCCAAGCATCCCGTATTCGCATGGAGGTATTTAAAGTCTTTTAGTCAAGCCATCAGTCATAACAGTACTCGATCGACCCCTGATAGTGTTATCAGTAATGGTTAAAAATGGATTATACCGCCAAGTAATTTCATCGGAGGGACACGGTGTGGGGTAGATAAGATAAGGTGGACAGCACGGTTCACCCAAACAAGCAATAAGCCGCTGTACGCCTCACATCATTTGGGTAAATATGATAGCATGACCCCTACGGACAGCAACAACTAATTACTCACCCTTCTTATATAGCTGGAATGTCCTGTGACCAGCGTCGATAGCAATCGAAATTGGACCTTGAGTAGCAACGGCAACCTATACCAGTTATAGCATTGGGAACCTATACCATGGAAAAACAACTGGGAAAGAACGGAAATGCAGGTGACACACCAACCTTCAAAGCTTCTTCATCACCTTCGGGAAGATCGACAAAACCCTTGTCATCAGCTCCAACATCACTCTTCTTGAAGTGGCACTTCATATCCTGAAACGAACGTCACTAACTGAACAGTGCCATTTCGCCTACGTCAATAACCAACTCACTCTTCCAACATAGGGATAACTCTCTTCGGTATCGACACCGTGATTCTCTTTGATGTACTCGAACGCCAAATCCATAAGACCACCGTTGCAGCCGTGGTTTCCGTATTTTGTCGAGCAATCAACAAGATTTTGCTCAGAAAGAGAAACCTAAACATTTTTCATATCACTCAAATCTTAGGAGGAATAAAAAAATCTTATATTCGAGTCCAAAGGCGTTAGTTTTTTTATGTAAAGTAATGAGAATTGACACTCATCCATGAAGCGCAGCATTAGAACTCCAGTAAAAGATAACCGAAGGTATGATTGCGTTTAGACTTTGCAATCGGCTCGCTCGAGCGAATGAGTCGCGCTAACACCACCGGGGAGCGCTCTACCGCTATACGGAGCGCAGCCGGAAATTAAAATCATAGTTGCAGTGCAGTGCGGTGCACCCCTCGGGAAGAGCGCCCCGGTCGTGGTCGCACGATCTAATCGTGGTAAAGAACGAACCATTTTGCCAGTAGCACGTGCATGCTGTCCTTCCAGTGCACCAGTAGTAGAGAATGCCCAACATGATCCACACATTCCTTGATTCTTCACTGGAGTCACGAGCCCCTTCTCGCGCCAGTCAACTTCATTAGGGATCTGGAGCAAGTGAATAGAATATGGCAAATTTCCATTACAAAAATTTAAAACATTACTGGCATCTGGTTGAGAACACTGGTATTAAGTGACCAGCTGAACAAACTAAACCCAGCCATGTTCTGAACGCGAAAATATACCTCGACATTGAATGGTGCCAAAAACTTGGTACCATTCGATGGCATAGAATCGCCATATTGACGACGATGTCGGTATCCGTTGAGTTTTCGATATTGTGAGAAGGGCTGAATAATAACCATTGATTATTGTAGACATTTCATGCAGTCATTGTCAGAATAATGAGCCTTAGAGTTCACATGAGAAAAAACGGCTCACTAAATCAGCGATTTCATTGACTCCCATCTCGAATGTCTTCCTGCCCAAACGATGTTCTTTGTTGTGTTCCTCGATGTGAATCATATTCTTAACAAATGCTTCCATGAAGTCATTTTCTTCCTCCGGATCGTATGATTTCCCTTAAACAAGGTGTTAGACATTCGAAATACGGACAGATGACTGGCGGAGTAGCATCCCTACAGACCAACCACTGTTCGGCTCAGGGGGAGAGGGAGGGCATTTTGCACTTTCACTGGCTTTTTTGCTAGATCTTGTTAAATTAAACGTCTCCCTTGATGAGACCTGTGGACTCCTTTCAGCTGTAAACGAAGGTTATGCTTTCCAGGGCCTTACAAGTGTTTTCTGTCTCCACAAAAGGCATCGGCACTGATCGATAGGAAAGCAAAATGCCCCATCAACCCGAAATGCCCCTGTACACTAATTGTTAAGAAAACAGAAATCTGTTCCTTCAAATATTGTTATTATTTACGCCAGATTTTTTTCTTTCAAAAAGAAAGCAAGCGCGAAAAGTTATGACTATGCCATCAATGACAGGCGATTACAAAACCATTGAGGCAACCTTTGTGGGGAAAATTATTTGGAAACTTACCGAAGGCCTCCTTATAATCGTCCCATTTATCAAAAGCCTCGTCGATTTTCTGTCGGAGAGTTTTTTCTTTGCGTGCCCGGAGACCATGGTTATGCCTGAAGAAAACTGATAGTAACTGTAATACTTGTCTCTCCACAAGAAAGATGATTCTTAAACATTCTCTAGATGAAAATTACAATTATAAGGTTTTGAAAAGGAAAAGGACGGTTGAGGAATTCCTCAATCGGATGTTTTCTCGCTGAGAGGGTCCAGAGATGTTTCCTCATAGCATGTTTCGGACGGCATTTCAAGGGGAAAATAAGGAAAAGGGAAGAGATGGGTAAGGAAAAGAAGAAGAGAGTAAGGAAAAAAAGAAGGAAGAGAGAAGCTCTGCGGTGACAGATATCCTGGGCCGTCCTTCATCTCACTATTAGTTCATTGTGCCCCATTCTCGAAGCGCGTTCATACTTTACGGCACAGTCTACGCCAGGGTTTTGAGCGTACGCTAACATTTTGGGCGACTAGCAAAGTACGGATCTCGATTTACCGTGAGTGTACGCCAGTGTTCTGAGTACTTTGCGGGTAGCTTTGAGCTTTCCGTGGGCAGTCGCGGAAAACGCTGCCTTGCTCAGAACGCTGACGCAAGGTATGAACGCAGCTTACTATTTGCGACCTAGTCCATTCCTTTACATCTATCTCAAAAAGCTTGGCGTGTCACTTTACAATTCCGGTTCAGGCTGTTCAAACTCCGTGTGGCAAATATAAAACAGTAGTTGTTAGAGGAACTGGTTCCTAGCAAATTGGTTAAAACTATGTCAAGACACATAGCCGTCTATTGTAAAGTGACTACACACTAAGAAATCTGCACTTATTATCGAACAGTTTGAAAAATTGAGAAATTTGAACTATTACGTCACTCGCGCTCAGGTGACGTTCTCTAGCTGACACCCAACTTCCCCGCTATATGACTATAGCGACAGCCGTCTTGTGAGAAACAGCGGCAATGGTCATTCAGGTTTATAGCCCTCGTGAAAAACATGAGATTACAATCTGATGAAATCGCAAGCGATGATGGAAAGAACTAGGTCTATAAGACATGGTTAAAAAGTCCGCCTTCACCTGATTCTATGAAAACCGTTAAAGTATGATTAGAGACACCCAATGCACAACAGAGTCCCAAATGTTAGAGAGCGTTCATACTTTGCGTCACTGTTTTGAGCGACTGGGAAAATAGTTATGAATCTGGAGTTTGAGCGTACGCTGTATCGATACTCATACTTCCCTAGTCGGCTAAAACGCTGCCGTACGCTCAAAACGCTGACGCAAAGTATGAACATATTCTCAATGCTCTTGAGTGTGGTGGATCTCCGCAGTTATTCCGTGACTCATAGAAATGTCATTTTGTTTGCAATAAGGTCTGACAAAATGTGTAGAATGTAGGCAAAATATGAGTCATAAGCAGCAAGCAAATGATTTCCAAACAAAGACACTTTAACGACAAATCGCACCCGAACGGATAGAGTTCTGGTGCTTTTTGTGGATTGAAAAAATAATCAAAAAAGGTGGTAAAGGTTGAGGAAGGAGATTAATTTAGTCTAACAATCCATAGCAGTTTCAGATAAGACAGAGAGTTTGAAAAAGGAACCAGTTGAAGCAAGCAAACAATGTTCTTTGCTTACTGTGACTTGTTTTTGTTGGGAGGGGGGGGGTCCAACAAAGCCACATGGGCAGTTTTTTTCGAGAAAGTAATACGGTAAGTATGGCAAAATATGAAACTCTATTGATCATAAATCTACCGCCATAATTATTGCCAATATCGCCTTCTATATAACCTTTCATATTATTAAATCTTAAGTGATTCGAGCCATCACTTAGGAGGTACGTCCGCTTCAGGACAAAGAAGATTCAAATATTCTACTCTCAGAAACAAGCCGAATGTTACTTATAGAAAGACAGCTCAGCTCAAAACATATCCCTCAACAAGGTCGCGTTCATGCTTGGCGCCGAAATGAAAAATAGGACGGCTCGCGAAAAGGACTGGATGCATATCGATTAGGAATGGTCGTAGAAAATGGGTTACAGGGCTCATGTCAACCGGACATGCGCTCACTACGAGGCTTCAGTGGAATTTCCTCGTCGAATCTGTTGACTCAGTTAAAGGGAGAAGGAAAAACAAGAGGGAAGAGAGAAAGAAGGAAGGAAGAGAAGGCCTTGGAGCTGACAAGTATCCTGAGACGTGGAAAAACGCTCGGGTCGCTACGCATTTCAAATGAAGACAGGCTGTGAAAAATTGTCTCTGATTAGACAATCATTACCATCTTCTTGAGTGTCCCGACCTTCCCACTTAATACCAAAGACTTTTCCCTCATGGATTCTTCCCAGTTCGTGCTCAGTTTCAGATGTCCAAATGACTTATGTTTGCGAATGACCGACTTCATAAGAGTTCATAATCAATCAATGAGAAAACGAGATAAGTACTGTAAAACTGAACCAACCTTCTGAACCCATCAATACTAGCTAAAGCACAAGCACCAAAGAAGTGCCAAACAACAACAGACGCATCGTTTCGGTGCAGAATGACAGCGGGACTTCGGACTTTGGCGCGGTTTTATAGCCGAGGGGCGGAGCTATTGGCCAACGGTGACGCGCGTGACCGAGGCACAATCCAGGATACGGTCCACTGATAACAGCGTTGGGATACCCTCAGAGTTCAAAGTTCCTACACTCAAAAGATCATGAGGGTTTGAACAAATAATTGTCATGGGAATTTTACTGTCTACAGTGACAAAAGAACGGGGGGCACCGTTTTAAGAACTTCTCATGCAAAACGGGAGTTGTAATGAAGCGTGTGGAAACTTTTGCCTACGTTTAGGCGTCTCAGGACACTCGTCAACTGCTAGGCTTTCCTCCTCTTCCTCTTTTCCTCCTCCTTCGTTATTTCCTTCCTTCCCTCTCTCTTCCCTGTTCCTTTTCCTTCTTCCTTCGACTGCTAGGCGAGGAAATAGCTCTGGATCCTCGCAGCGAGATCAGGTCCATCTTGCATTAAAGTAGTCCTAGTTTTGCACCGTGAGTCCTTCAAGTGGAACGTAACATCTTGAACTTTTAAGGGAACCTGCCAAAGCATCTATGACGCCCCAAATACCTTAGGATGCCATCAGGAGAAGAGTGAGGCAAGAAATCAGAGAGATCGACGCATTCAAAGAGATATCAATTTGCTCGTATATCCGGAGGTGTCCCTGAGAAATCGTCTTTCTTCTTCTTCTTCCTAGCTGTAGTTCCGCGCCGTCGGAAGGGTCCCCTGTTCTTGCTAGAGGTCTCCACTTGTCTGCGTTTTCTGCTAGTTTCGCACCGTGAGTCCTTCAAGTGAAACGTAACTATCTTGAACTTTGTGGCGCCTGCATAAGCTCTAATGAACGCCCGCAAAATACCTTAAGGTATGCCAATCAGGAGAAGAGTGAGAAAGAAAAATCAGAAAATCGACGCAATTCAAAGAGACAGTTAATTTCTCGTATATCCCGGAGATGTCCCTGAAAAATCGCCTTTCTTATTCTCGCTTACCTAGCTCGTAGTTCCGCGCCGTCGAGGGTCCACTGTAAGTGCTAAGACGTCGGCCACTTGTCTGCGTTTTCTGGGCCGGGGCATGCCACATTCATGAGTCCTTGATGACGTCCCTCCACTTTTATTTAGGGACCTTCATGGTCGCTTGTCCTCTATTTCGAATTCCAATGCCTTCCTTACTGGGTGGTCTTCAGGCCTCTTCAGTACGTGCCCATACCATCGCAGTCGCTGCTCTCGTGCCTTCAGCTGGATCGGAGCCGTCTGTGTGATCGCCCTGACGTCCTCGTTTCTGACTCTGTCGAGTCGTGTCCAGCCGCAGGCCCATCTCAGCATCCTCATTTCAGCTGAGTGGAGCTTTCATGGTTCTTGCAGATGGGCCAGCACTCACTGCCGTAGAGCATTGTAGGCCTTACCACCGCCCGGTACACCTTGCCCTTGAGCGTTCTCGAGCACCGCCGGTCGCACAGGATGCCAGTGGACTCCATTTCATCCAGGCTGCGTTGATTCGGGCCTTCACCGCCTGGTCCACGCTGCCATCAGCTGCTAGGTCGCTCCCCAGGTACTGGAAGTCCTCGACCCTTTCGATGCTCTCGCCGTGGCGGTCTACGATGGGTTCGGTGCACTCTTCGGAGCTGGGGGACTTTTGCTTTATCACTCCTATTGACTGGCTTTTTCCATCAGTGGTTGTTTTCCTGCTGAATTGATAACTATTGTAGAAAATGCAGCCGGGGATTGGCTCATTCGACGCTTACTGGCACCGTCCCAACCTATCGCGACGATATAAATTTAACATCTTTTGTGATGATTCCTAATATGCGGAACTTTTACAGAGGAACGCATATAACGCTACGCTCATATCTTGCTACAAAGAACTGCCGAATTGCAGGATCGGTGAAATGCATTGCATAGTTATTGATTTATATCCAGAAATCGTCAATCCTTTTTTTCTGGGAGTTGTCATTCTTCTCTGTCGCGAGGTACACTGCACATCCCAGCGATGGAGTGGGTGTGATCCCGTACTTGACTTGAACATAGCGTAGGATGCGATGTTTGCAGGATATTTAGATTTAATACAAGGGTTGTTCCCTCCATTACTGGACCAGGTCATGGTTGCAGCTGTTCTGATACTACTCCGGTAGCGCAGGTATTGCCACATTCAAATGAATACCGCAGCCGCGGACTCACTATCTCTAAGATATGCAGAGCATGAATGCGGCCTAATACAGTAAGAAATTCGACACCACAAAGACAGTAAAATAATCGCCTTGCATTTTATCACTTTCCGTTCTTGAAAGATTTGCTTATTGATAATATGATTTCAGTTGGTTTTGAACCATTTATGCGTTGATTGGCCGTGAAACCTGAACTTTGTTGCTTTGATGTAGAGCCCTTATTTGCTGCGAATTGAGCAGCCAATCAACGATGAACATCTAGAATAGAAAGTTCACAATAAGCGCAGAACTGTAATTAACTCCGGAGATTACAGGAGGAAGTATTCATGTGATAAATTTATTTACCCATTTATCTTAAAGGCAGCGTCCGCGATCAACCAAAGTGAAAAAACCCTCCAATGAAAACGAACGCGGAGTACGCAACCATAGCGGATATCCCACTCTTGCGGCT